GAAGCAGTGGATTGGTCCTGCTGTTTCTGTAGGTTGCCATGGTGATTGCTTCTTCTTTGGAGCCTTGCTCCACTTCTCAAATAGCGTCACACTGATACATTTCCGTCACAGTGGTGTTTATATTGTGAATGCCATGGAAGAGTTGAAGGCCAGGGTACAACTAATCATGATCTCACACCTTGCCAACACTGAGTGCACAAGTTGGTCAGTGATTGACAGCTGGCTAGGATTTATTTTATTCATGGACAGCATCAACATCCTGGGAGCCTAACGAGCGTCTTCTCACTTGTGATCTGCCTTTTACGTATTTACTTGGATTTTTTAACTTCCGTCTGCACACAGAAATGTTCTTAATTAGTTGGAGGAAGTGAGTGTGTGTGTTTTGATGTCCTTGGTAAAGCATGCAGTGTTATATTTCAGCTCCCCCACAGTCCTATAAATCAGTTTTAGTGCACAGTATGAGACTCTCCTGATGCATGTATGTTAATCATGTGTCTGCTTCCAATCCTTGCTTTCAGGAAACTCATGTTCTGTTAAATGAGGGAAAAATTAGCTTTCTCTTGTAGCTTCTTGTTTTATACACTTCTGCTTTAAATTTGGAATTCTCATTTCTCTGGAATGTTTTTTTGTTAAATCTGGATGGGGCGTTGTAATTCATCTCAGCTTTTTCATTTTTTTTTTTCTTTCTAGCTTTCCACTTAGCCATTAAGACATTACCGTAGCAAGCAATATGCTTAATGGTTGCATGTACCAACTGAGACACCCAGATTGCTAATTCACTGCACAACGTAATGAAATCAGAGCTGCATTTTGCAGACACTGATCTCTTTCACCCACATAAAAGCATTAAATTGTGTTTTTAACATTAATTGATTCATAATCCATTGTGCAATTTTTCAAAAACTTTTAATACCGAATACTAAAATGTATCTTTCATTCTCTCTCCATGTAATTCCCAGAAGCTTTCTTTCAATCAGAGATAAGTTCTATGGTATTTAACAAAAAATGCAAATGTTTGTATAGAAAGGACACACAGAGGCTTCAATGTT